CTCATGATAGTGGATGAGCTTGTGTCATCGATCTCCAGTATTGATAAAATGTGACATAGATTGAAAACAGAAAGAAGAATAAAACCGTCACAACGCTAACGGTATGTTTTTTTTAGACATTTGTGAGTCTAGAGCAATGTTTACAAATGAGTGACTTGCGGCAAAATGCCTTAGGACTACAAATAGTATATATTTAAGGTTATTATCCCGGCAGACCTATGCGCTGAATAAATGAAAGTGTTTTGTGAATATTTATTCAAGTGACTCCTGAAACTTGGCTCTTGGTGCATCTGCTAGTGCATCTGGTTCCGTTTACGAAGGCATGACCCATCTATTGAGGAGTTTTATTCCTAGTTTTACTTAGAAAAAATGTTTTCATGTGTAGCGAGAGAACTTGGACTTCGGCGTCGCTGTATTTACTGTAACACCTGTAAAAATCAGGGGGGCCCCCTATTTTTAACCCCCCGCAAGGGCTTCGCACCATCGGCGCTCGCGAACTAGGTCTTCGACCAACTTATCGCCCCCCTATTCCAGAATCCTAGATCCGCCCCTGAAAATGTATGTTAATATTGTATGCGTTGATTTAAGTCATAACCTTTCAACCTCACTGGTGATAGGTGAAATTTGATCACGTGGTGTTGTCACGTGCTATATGTTTGCAATATCAAATATATCTTATTATACATTCATGTTTTATTGAAGGTTATTCACGACTACACCAGCGACACGTAAGGTACACGTCAAGGCACAGCGCATGGATCCTTTGATGACGTATACCTAATTATTGTTTTCTAAACTGTGTCATTCTGAGAGTGTACAACAATCGCAATGGCTGTCAATAGTACATTTAAGTTCGAGTGGATGTGTGGCGCAAATGACAAAGAGTACGCCGTGACCGAGGGACGTCGTCTCAAAAATGACTGTTTTGTACATGCTGTAATTGCATGTATTCATTTAGTTTTCTGTGTAATAATTCCAGTCGTTCTCGTACTGCTTGGACGTTTTACAAGTCTACGACTGTACTACTCACGAGCGTTGATTCCATACCCAGGTCACACGATTAAGTGGTTATTGGTGATGTCTCTGTTTATAATTTTACTCGTTGCCGTCGGTGAGGGGATCCTAACGGACATTACCAGACATGACACGACGCAACCACATCTCTATATACCTCAGATACTGGCATGTATAAGTGCCATTCTCAGCTTAGTGTATTATCATCATATGGAATACTGGAATCAACCACGATTAGCTTGGTTATTATTGACTTACTGGATATTCGCTATATTTGGAGAAAGTATCCAACTTGTTAACCTGACTCACAAATTGGAGTTTGATGTCACAATATTACGACTTGATCTTACGTTATTACTCATAATATTTTATTGTAGTTGTGTTTGCGTTGAAATCAACTTAATCAGATGCAAGGTAGGTACATACATTATCATAATATAATGTCTAATATATTTTTGTACAGGTATTCATTCCCAATGTACAGGGCAGGTGTAGCTTTCTCATTGAAGACGTCGGCTACGGGTCACTGTTGATCACATGCCACCAATATTATTATAATCCTAATAAAATTATTGGTTAATCAGTTTATTGTCAACATAAACTACAGGTTATGTTTACATATAGTCCGCAGTATCTCTGTTGCCAAGACGATGTGAAGTGTTTCATTTACTTTGTAGTGTGAGGTCAAATTGAGGCTTACCATCGTTCGTAACCGCCCACGTCGCGCAAAATGTACACATTATTTTATTTCTTGAAAACTAGTAAATGTGTATTGTTTGGAACTTCGACAGAGCACTTTCCTAATAAATGCTGAAAAAAACGTCTAGACTGAAAGGACAATAGCGACGAGGCAAAAAATTAGTATTATCATTAGTAAAAATCATCTCGAAGCTAAGGGTTTACCTACACAAATCCTGTTGTGATTTTAATGTCCGAAGTCTCAGCTGCAAACACTCCAGCACAGCAACATGACACGACAGTCCCTCAACTTGTTCATTGACAAGAATATGTTGGAAGTCTGTTTACGTGTTCAAAGTGTGTGTTTCATTTGTGTTGTTTTACCGTTCGGAGTGAACGCGTGGTTCTGCATCTGTACTGATAAAACTGTCCTGATTTTCGGGCTACTAAAACGAAACTGAATATTAGAGCTTGTTAACAACAAGAAATTACAGATAAAAGTATTTCGATCCAAAGCATTTCTTTGCCTATTATTTCATCACACACATAAACCAGCGAATATACATGCTTTATTAGTGAATGTTTTGTTTGATCTCAACAGGTTTGGGGTTGGTTGTACGAAGAAAAGCCGTACCCACGTGACCTGAAGAATCAGAACATGCGTTTTGTGTACAATTATACAAATATACTATCCCGTGTCGCGTTCTGGTCTTTGAATTGGGTGTTCATTCTCGGTTACAAGAAACCGTTACAGCTGTCCGATTTGGGGTGTTTACCAGACGAATCTTCGAGTAAAAATATTCACAGGGCTTTTGAAGCTGGGTATGAAAAAGAACGGGTTAGTAAGCATTATTATATATGACAAAAATGGTAAATCTGAGGTTGTGCATGTATTCCAAAAGTCCTAATGCTAAGAAATTACAGCTTCTCCAAATATCCATTCAACTTGAACGACTAATGTAAGTGCATTTTTTATTATGTCTTTGACAGGAACGAGCAGCTAGAAAAAAGAATGGCATTCCATCTGTTTGGCGAACATACATTCGTGTCTATGGTGTAACCATCCTGCAGTGTTTGATTTTAAAACTGATTGCTGATACACTGGGCTTCATACCACCTATTGCAGTTGGAGGAGTGGTGACCTATGCAGCTGCTCTGTATAGTGACGTAGAACCTGATCAATACGTAAGTAACTGTCGTCAAGACACGTAAATGTTATAGGTATAGCTAATAAACCACTCGTACATTAAATGATGAACGTTTACATTTCCATGATTTGAATTACAGATCACTCCGTATATTACAGTAAACGAGTTCTTCAGCAACGGATTTGTACTTCTTGGTGTTATATTCTTGGCAGTGTTAGCAAAATCTTTATTTCAACATCAGGCCTTAAATAACTCTGTGTTCCAGTCCGTCAATGTACGATCGGCACTACAGGTAAGTTCAATCATATGTTATAATATCTATCACTTTAATGAACGATGGAACATTGAGGCGAGTGAATATTTCTGAATAAATAATCACTTGTCGAATAATTTAAGCATGGTTACAGAAGTGAAGAAACTAATAAAAATGTTGACTTCGGTTAATATCTATCAGATATACCAATTTTCTCTAGTGCTGGCGTTGTACGTTAATTTCAATGTCAGACAAAGTTTTGCATATTTGATTATCAATATAGCTGTAAGCAGTATTTAATGGCTTCCCAACGTTGAACCAAAATGAAGTGGCGGACAAGGAATTGTTCTTATTTGATTGTTCTCCAATCACACGGTTCGTCTAATTGAACCCTGGTATGATCTCTAATAGGTTTTCTGAAATGTTGATCATGTATAGTAGAAGTCTCGGTCGCAATATATACGTGGTATTGTATTTGAATATACTGTCTGACCCATACTAGAGCCCCGAGAATGGCATGTAAACATACTTAATTATGACCTTGCCCAAACCCAAATCCATTTTGAATATTCTTACCGATAATATGATTTGAAGGAGGGAGTTAGTTGGCCTACTATTCACATTTGCAAATCTGAGCTACTATTCGAGTTGCTATTGAATACTAAGAACGTAATTTTCATTTCAGAGCTTCACTTATGAGAAGTCACTTCGTTTATCATCTTGGGCATTATCTAGTGGTGAAAGAACTGTTGGTCAGATCACTAATCACATGTCCGTGGATGCAATGGCATTGCAGTTCTTTTGTTTCTTTCAAATATTCTTCTGGACCATACCATATCAGGTGTTTTAATCTTCGCTCTATACTATATGTATTAGGCAGTGTTTAGAGCTTCTTTTCTGTCATATAACTACAATGTTGTATTTTTAATATATCACTTGAATAAATAATAATAACAGGTCACAGACAGATGACGTAATGTTTTGTGGTCAAAAGAAAATGAATGGATGTACACCTTTCTTCAAATTTCAACCAGACTGTAATGCTTTGTACTTTATAGTATGAATTAAAACTATTGTAATGTCAAATGTGTTGTAGAATGTTTTTTTTTTATTTTGGAGAACTCTTGGCCTAATTCACAGAATTGTACCACAATTTAGCAAATTTAAATATCTGACGTGAAATTATACATGTTTTGAAACTGCACTTCAAATGACAATTTCTGAAATGTATTGATAACTATTTTAATATTTGGTGTAAAGTGTTATTAGGTTTGCCTAGTATTACATAGTAATACAATGTTCAACGCAATTTTTGTTCTGTTCTGTTCATGTTTTTTTTCTCTTCCCAGCTTGTTGTGATTTTGATACTACTATACCTTGAATTAGGAGTAGCATCTCTGATAGGAGCTTCAGTTTTTCTGATCGCCACACCATTACAATATAAGATTGCAAATATTATGTCTAACGTTCAACGATCAGTACTGGTGAGTGAACAATGTATTTGATTTGAATCACTGTGTAACTACACAATAGACACTACAAACTATAGTATTCCCTATATGTGTTTACATGACATTCATTTTAGTACATAGTGTATCTATTACAGAAATATTCCGATCAGCGTATGAAGAAATCCAATGAACTTTTGCAAGGAATCAAGTTGCTAAAACTCTACGGGTGGGAAGAATTATTTTCATCTGCCATTGAGACTGTACGTACAAGTGAAGTGAGCAGAATGTTGAACCTAGGCATCCTGATGATTTTCACCTGTGGGTATACATCATGTCATGTATTTTATGGTTTTATTTTAAACTATTTTAATGACGTGCTAAGATTAGGCCCTGTCTGTTGAATTATACTAGTTGATTGGCGATAAGTGTATTGTATACATATTATTTCGCCTAAGTGACTATACACAGTAAATTAACCACGCTTATACGTTTCAGCTTTCCTGGCACAGGCTCTACCTACATTGGTAACATTTGTTGTAAGTACAACATTATGATATATTAGTTAAGTGTTTTATAAAAAAAAAACATTGCTATTGCGTACATATGCGTTGTGGCAATGATTAGAATTTGACAAAATTTGAGGTAGGAATGTAATTTATTTTATTTTTACATATGTGAAATGTCATGTCATGATGTTAAAGAAATGAAATAAAATAATGGGATCGATGTACATGTACAATACTGAATGAATAAAGTTGTCATATACAATTATATGTATGTATATTTAGGACATTTTTAGAGCACGTTTCATATGGCTGAAAGAAAGGGTTAACAAATGATAGCGTCAACAATGTACTTGAAACATGTTATTTAAAAATGTTTTACTGGGTTTTAAATGTGTTGTTATTGTAATCAATAGGAATCGCTGCTAAATTGTTATTTCATGCTTATTATTTGACAGTTTCTCTCAAAAGTTTCTCTTTAAAACCACTATATATATATATATATATATAACGATGAATGAAACGACATATAGTATATTGCCATTGGCGCTAACATATGTCCACACGTTGAAGAATAGCATTCTACCTTAACATTATGTATTTAATTTCATTGTCCAGTCATTCGCTGTTTACTCTGCCGTCAGTCCGACTCCGTTGACGCCAGAGCTGGCCTTCTCTTCATTGGCACTCTTCAACCAATTGATAATTCCTTTAGTGTTGTTACCAAATGCCATTGGCTTCTTTGTGTCAGCTATTGCGAGTACAGCAAGATTGCAACAGTTCTTTATTGCTATCGAAATTGAACAGCATGATGATGGCCGGCAACCACTAAGCAGGGGATATGATCATTCTTCCATCGACGATGATAATGAATGTAGTGATGAATATTTCGAGCAATCCGACACATTTCAAGTATGTATTGGATTATATTACACACCAAATATGTTTCCTTTCTAGCTTTTACCTTATGCTATTAATTGAATCACCTTTTACGATGAAGTTTTAAGTTATTTTGTTTTCTATTTTGTAGGTCGGGAATAACAACCAAAGCGGTGATACTGAGCAGACCACGCCAAACAATGAGTATTATGAAGAGAAACATACTGATCCTCTGTTGGATAACAACGTGACACTATCATATGGCACATTTGATTGTATGGACTCGCATATGGCTTTGACAAAAACGAGTGACCTGCCAGAGGGCGTTGCTATAAAGGTAAAGGTAATTCAAAATTTGAAAAAGAGTAGCAAAAAACAATATGTTAAAAAAAGTTTACTTTTAACCTTGTTTTATAGATTACAGATGGTAACTTCGCTTGGGACAGGGATGTAGATGCAGCACTCTTACGTAATATCAATCTTCAAATACCTACAGGTAATGATAAAATAGTCAATGAGAATGAGACAAATATTCAATCTCGAATTGTTATCATAACAAAATTATCCGAGTTTGCAAAGTTCTAATAAATAACTACACTTAGAAATGTTCAATTTGCCAATTTTAATCATTTTCATTTGTTTATGTAGCACGGTCATCATATTTTAATACAACTTGGTACATAAATGCTATGGGATAATGCGCAGACCTGATTAGTTTTTGGTTAAAATACGTGCCTATTAATTACCTAATGTTCATAATAATTAGACAATTTTAAGCATTTTCACTTGTTTCTCATATACTCAACGAAACTTGGCACATAGTTGCCTTGGAATATTCGCAGACCTGATTAGTTTATTGTAGCATATTAATAATACCTAATTTGCATACTAATCAGAAAATTTTACCATTCAACAGATTTTAATGAAACACGTTTCAAGAATATGGTAAAAATAAGGCAATGAAAATACAATATGTCAATGATTTTCCATGCAATAAGCACAATTTTTACTGTGTAATAAAGGTGTGCTTCTAATATAGAAAATACAGTATTCCTTATTTTTTTATGCTTCTAATACCTTCAGCACATGGGATTCTTTCTAAGCTTTCGTTGATATTTTATTGTAACCACATTCTCCGCAAATGTCTTAATCTATACATTCATATGTTATTCAAATATCTAAATAAAATTATGAAATAAAATGTTTCGATAACTGTTAATGTTTCCTTTCACGTCTCAGGAACACTAACCATGATAGTTGGAATGGTAGGTAGTGGCAAGTCTTCTTTATTATCTGCATTGCTAAAAGAATTGACGACATTATCTGGAACAGTACAATTCAATAGGTAAGTTTGTGTTCAAGATTTATAAATGTGGGATATTTTTTCAAAAGTTGTCGCTTCATTGATTACCTTATATTTCAGAGCAAGATGTAAAATCTCTTATGGTCCCCAGAAACCATGGCTACAAAACGTTTCACTTCGGAATAACATCGTTTTTGGTAGCAAATTTGATTATAAAAGGTAAATAACATTAACAAATATATTGATACCTAAAGTAAGAGTGCATTTACGTTATTTATTCATCAGATTATGGTAAACTTTCATCGTCTACATATTATTATAACAATTTAGATACCAAACTGTTTTAGAAGTGTGTGCACTTCATCCTGATATAAATATACTACCTGCCGGTGATCAGACAGAGATCGGAGAGAAAGGTATCAACCTCAGTGGAGGACAGAAACAACGGATTAGTGTTGCACGAGCCTTATATAGTCAGACAGATATAGTTTTACTGGTGAGCTGAACAAATTAGCGAGCAATATTACTGACGCAAAAGTTGCAGAACAAGTCGCTGAATAATTTATATAATACAAATCGAACTCATTTAAAAAATATCGATCCATTGCAAGGTTTGTACAAAGTTTGAATATGTTGTTATTATATGTAGGATGATCCACTGTCTGCATTGGATGTACATGTTGGATCCCATCTTATGAAAGAGGGAATTCTGGGATTCTTGAAAGATGAAAACAGAACAGTCATTCTAGTGACACATCAAATACAGTATTTACGTTATGCAGATCAGGTAAAAGTACAATTAAAAAATCAGGTAAATTGTATCAACAAAGTGACATTTTTTTAAAATACCTATTGATTACTACATATAAAATTGTGTATTGGTTTGTGCACGGTTAGGTTGTTGTAATGGATGACTGTATGATATCTAGAAGTGGTAATCTCAAAGATATACAGAGTAATGACCCAGATATGTATGCAGAATGGCAGCAGACGATAACAATGATAAGCGAATCCGAAAAAGAAAGCGAGTGTGAAGACGATACTACTAAAACAGGGGGAGAAATTTTAAAACCAATAATTTCAAAAAAGGGGGATGATATTGATGATAACGATGGTGAGTACGAGGGACAATAAACTATAATTCAGATATCATCATTTATTCCTCTGTATCTGTTATGTTGTGCCACACAATGTGAATCAATTACTTAATTCAGTTAAAATGTATATTTGTATAAAATGTTATTTCTAAAATAAATGTATTTGATTTAACAGATGAGACTGGGACTTTAATTGTGAAAGAGGAACGCGAGACTGGGTCAGTATCCTGGGCTATTTATTTAGCATATGCAAAGGCCATTAGATATCCATTGGTTTTATTAACTCTGTTTGCATATATCGCCCAAGCTACAGCGCTTATTTTGAACAACTTTTGGTTGGCAGAATGGTCAGAAGCTGGAAAGGACTCAAATAACAAAACAATAGTACGTTTTCACAAAATTTTGTCTAATATTGTATTAATCTTATTGATTATATACATTTCAAATTATATTTACCATTTATCTAGGACGAGTTGGACGATGAATTGGATTATTACCTTCGTGGATATGCAGGATTTTCATTCACATATATTGGATTAGTATTTGTAGCAATCAGCTTTCAGATTATATTCTCGTTACTTGGTGCAAAAAGACTGCATATAAAGCTATTGCGTAATATTGTCCATGCACCATTGAGGTTTTTCGACACAACGCCAGTTGGACGGATATTGAATAGATTATCAGATGATACAAATCTAATAGATCAGGTAATTAACATGGATTGTTGAATATTTGTATAATTCTCATATCTAAACATATATGTTAGTACTATGCTACTGATACTCTGTGTTAAATCATTAAAAGATGTAAGATCCGTTTCTTTTTCACAGAGATTATGGGTGACAGTTTCTGGAATATTAAACAATACGAGTCTTTGTCTGTCTGCCATAATTGTTAATAGCGTTGTTACACCAATATTCCTCGCTGTTGTTACGCCTGTGATCATTGGATTTTTCGTGTTACAAAAGTACTACCTCACTACATCAAGGTACGAGTATGTTTAACGATCGTTATCAGAAGCCATATTACTTAACAATAGAATTTCACATATATATATATATATATATCTATATATACTATTTCATTTACTCTGTTATCGCCATCTAATGGTTTAATGTATCAACTACGATTTAACTGTATTTTCAATTTCAAGGGAACTTCAAAGGGTTACGAGCATAACAAGATCGCCTGTATATGCTCATTTCTCAGAAACACTGGGTGGTCTGACCACAATACGAGCCTACAGGTAAAATAGATCCAATCTATTTCACTGTCTTGTCTGTCTTTTCGAGAAGTCATGTTCTTTCATTGAGATACCAAGAAGTACCATCATGCACCATAAACCAAATTGTAGCCCTTTAAGTAGCTTATGCTATAGGATAAACAATTATTGATAGTCGTTATGTAACTATTTGGAATACCGTTGCTCGAAACGTCTAGTTATTTTGAATAGTTACTCAATACAACAATTATCAAATTTCATCTACTGTATATTATATTAATCGGTGCGAGCAGTATTCATCTATTTACTAATTTGAATCAATGTATGCGTCTCGTTAGACTAGCTGTTTTGTTATTTCTCAATTACACATAACTCTGTACATTTAAGAAAATATTTTTAAGATATTGAATTTTGCAGAGATGAAAAACGCTTCCGGGAATATTTATCACGACACTTGGATGCTCACAACGTGGCACAGATATATTTATCCATGGGTATTCGGTGGGTGGCTGTTCGTCTAGTAAGTCTCTATTTGCACACTGTTTATTTACATAAAGTATGTTGTGTATTTCGCGAAAGTTACTTCCACAATTGAATTGAAGCATTGTGGAATGTCGACGTACAATTTCAACGTCATCTACGGTGGACTATACGAATGCTGATTACTAAAGTATATGAGAACATCCGTAATTAATATTCTCTAAAAACCATCTTGAAATTTGATTCCATATTTCAAATATATGCTGTACACTTACACACATGTATATTTACACAGGAACTCATCGGAGCTATGGTTATCTTAATATCAGGCTTGTCTGGATTGCTAACCAGTGTGTTTGTTGGTCTTGAAGCAAGTTTGGTAGGCTTGTCTATAACCTATGCACTTACTGTGAGTGGAAACCCAGTTAATGTTTTGTATTACATCTTGTTATACTTGCAATAAAGATTATATTTACGTTTAATTCATATAACGCATTGTATTATTTCAGATATCTGGACATTTGACATACCTAGTACGTCTGTCATCAGACTGTGAAATGCAAATGAATGCTGTGGAACGAGTCGAATATTACACAAATGTACAGCCAGAACCTTACCAAGGTGACTTAAGTGTTTAACATGTTGTATGGGTGTTAGCATGTGTACATTCGTGGCTATGGTGTTATAACGTGAATTTGTGTAATACGTTGATATGTCATTTAATCACGTAATAGGTACATACGAACCACCGCCCACCTGGCCAGACAAGGGAACCATCCAATTACAGAATATTTCTGTCCGATACGCCACTGGTTTGGAACCCGTGTTACAGGACGTAAACATCACATTCAAGTGTGGCCAAAAGGTTGGATTACGTTACTGTAGTTTTGAATATGGTTTTATTGAAAGGAAACTATAGTGTAACGTAGGGATACGTCTCCCCTCTGTTCGAATGAAAAGCAAAAACAGCATATAAATATATTTTTTACATGTTATAATTGAGCTGGTTTTCAAATTATGTGGATAACGACCATATGTTGCATTGTCATTATTGTTATAGATCGGCATATGTGGACGTACAGGAAGTGGTAAATCGTCTCTGGTATTATCAATATTTAGAATCATTGACATTTTTAAAGGTAGGTGTAAATATATGTAATAACATTGTAGATTATTCCCAAATCAAATATTTATATATACAATCTGGATGTTTAATGTCATTGGTTCAATTGTAGGTCACATTGTTATTGACGGCGTTGATATCTCAACCGTACCTTTGTTGACACTTCGTAATCGGCTTGCAATTATACCACAAGATCCGGTTTTATTTCAAGGGACAATAAGGTAAATTTATGAATGTAATTTAATGAAGTACTTGTCAAATGAATGCTAAATTTCATTTTAACTTAACTGCTTATATTATTAAAGGTTTAACCTGAATCCAGAAAGTGACAGGACGGATGAAGAATTGTGGAAAGCATTGGAGATTGCGCAGTTGAAACAAGTTATAGCTGATCTAGACATGCAGTTGGGTACGTCTACTGGCGATGATGATTTTATTACAACGTCAATAAACTAATTTTAAATAATTGGTGGAGGTGTAACGGTGTTTAATCATTCTCAATCGCCATTGCTTTTGTCTTTCGGCAGATGCTGATGTTTCAGAAGAAGGAGACAATTTTAGTGTTGGCCAGAGACAATTAATATGTCTTGCAAGAGCATTCTTACGGAAAGCCCATGTCCTTGTTATGGATGAAGCAACAGCTTCAATTGACTTGAAAACGGTTATTAATTCATTAACCATTTTACGTTATATTAGTTTCTACTCCGAAATGTTATTCTATTTTCTTAGGATTTGCTGAATCTCTGGAAGTATAACCTTATATTATTGTCATATATCATAATTCAGCTGAATCATTTCAAATGAAACTGACTAGATATATACTTTCTATACAGGATAATATTTTACAGTCCGTAATTGCCACAGCGTTTGCTGATAGAACTGTCATCACTGTTGCTGTAAGTATGTGTGTGTGTTTAGGTGTGGTATCTAAGTATTTGGCGGCTGGCAAATCCTACAACAAATATCTAAAATGTCGAGCATATCAACTGACATCATAAAGATTGATTTAATGTTATATTTTCAGCATCGTATATCCACAATCCTCGACTCTGACGTTGTACTTGTGCTGAGTGACGGTAAAGTTATAGAATATGATACACCACATAATCTACTCAAGAAAGAAGATAGTATGTTTGCGTCATTAGTGATTGGATCGGCTGATCAGTGAAGAAGTCATCAGCTGTCTGAATGTTCATCAAATACCATCCTATGACATCACTTTGATAGTACAATAATGTAATTCGAGTCATGGTCGCTGGCAAATTAGTTTCGTTGTATGGATGTCATGTGATTGTTATATTATTAAATATGTCATTGTATGTTCTGCGTCACTGCTTTGTGTTTTGTTTGTTTGTATAAGGTAACAGTATGAGCTACACTAACTTGTCTTCTATGATTGTAAACATTTAATCCTATATACAATGAGCAAGAACTTTTTCTTCGGATACTCGACGTTGTCAGTTTTAGGGTATGGTCATTGGGCGCCACGGTTAGATTGCAGCTAACCATCGACAGTTCGGCGTTGTGTTGGTTAAACCGTTGGCTTAAAACATCTAAAGTATGTTGTTTATTTCTAGTTTCATGTACATTGCTGTTCCATACGTCCATGGCTACTTTATAACTTTTATATATAATTACAAACAAGCTATCAAAATTATCAACTCGCGAATATCGACTGAAAAATGAATATGGTATTTCTTTTTTGATATCTTGTAGGAGGGACCTTCGTAGGGTATTCGTAGAGAGAAATGATAAACTCCATTCTGTGTAAATGGTTACGTACTAACCGCGGACAATACTGGGAAAAAAAAATATTTTTTCTTGTGAAAGTGTGTGAAGCTGAATATCTCAATCATATGCAGTTCAATTTGATGTAGCGTTAACCATCTTGTCATGTGAACAATCTCTTTTTGTCACGCAGTGATGCACACTATTTTTCTGAAAAAATCCCCCAAATCGCTAACTAAAATAGCCAATTTAAAGTTGGCAAATTAGCTCTGAATTTTATTACTATTAATAAGATCTTGCAACAAATGAATGTTAATAACTGTAACATGACGTACACTGGGGTCGTAAAGTTTGATTACAACTATTCAAGACATGTCGGAGACATTGTTCTAGAACAGCATTCGTTAATGCACATTATACCGCAATATACAGTATATCCCAAGGGAAGGGTAGCCACCTGGATTTAGAGTTGGAATGTCATACGCAACGTAATATTACCGTAATTGGTATAGTACAGGTGTGATGGCTCAAATGCCAAAATGGCAACAGTAACAGAAAGACTTCCCTGGCGGCGATGATAACATACGAACACGGAGCCAACAGATGAGGTTTCAACTGGTACTGGTATTATTATACTCTGCAAACATCAAGTACAATAACGCGGTAAAACTCCACTACTCCAATAACTAGATACTTAAACTCCAATGCAATTCAACAAGATCTCCGGTCTGAACTCAGTGCTGAACAACTCTCCTATATATACCCCCACTGTCTATAAATAGACCATTACATCAGCATACATAATGAGTCTGGAACTTACTACAAATTTCTAGAATGTTCCATTACCTTCTATTGCCTCCTACAGTGTTCTATTACCTATTCAACCATTTTCTAAAAAATATAGAATATTCCACCCAGACACAGCACGGTTCTAGAACATTCTCAGTGACACGGAAGTGGTAAATAAGTCGTATGCGACATGGAATGCCCCACGGCCAATTAAAAATTAACCCAAAGAGATCGTCATTGCTCGCGCTATTAGGCTCAAAAATGCCCGAAATGACTGGAAGTCTTAAAATTGGGAGTAAAAATAATCTATTCGAACGTGAAAATGTGGTTCAAACAGCGGCGCATACACATGCATCAAGGTCCCATTATGTTCTATGTGTTTTTCGGAATGGCAGAAAATCTTAATTTTGTGGAATATTAAGTATAAAATTGGCCGCTAAAATGACATCTTGATTTGTGTTGTGATATTTATTGCTGTAATAGTAATGTATTGTGCTTACGCCCAGTTAGCTAGCCAGCCTTGCCCAGCTGTGGAATTAGTATAGAAAGCGTGCATTGTCATTGCCTGCTGGCCCAGGCATGTCCAAGATACAGTCGGGGAGCGCGTACGGGTGCACGGAGACTGCCTAAAAAATATGAAGTTGCACCGGTTATTATATCTATATCCGAGGAAATGCGGTATATGAGGGCGCTCTAACGATTGATTTATAATTGTTATATTGCTATGAATTGTAAGATTGAACCAAAGTTAGCATGTCCGTGTGTCAAAGTGGCCGTTCTGATTTATATCACCGCTGTAAATTGTTCTATTCAAATGCAAGTTACTTTGAACCAAGTACCAAGTGTACCAAGTAAACAACTGGGCAAACCATGCAAATTACATTTCCCATGACGCACTGATGCAATCCCTGGGATTGCGGAGCCGCACTTTAACATTGCCATTTTTTAAGTGCTTCCTTGAATTTATTGAACCTATTTTTAATTTTGATATTTATTTGCGTGGTCAAAAATGAAAGACGGTATGTAGATGTTTCACTTTACCGTCATTAGCCACGAACCCTTGGAGCTTAGTGATTAAGTAATATAAGGTCTGTATTCAGTAATAGTACAAGCAAAATACAGATACGTCGTTGTTATATATTATTTAACCGTTACTTGTTTGGTTGAAATTAAATCCTCCGCCGAAAGGTCCGAGGCTAATGACGACCATGTCAATTCACTTAGCCGTTATTAGACACGGACCCCGTTCAGGGCTCATACCACTAATTGAACTTCCATAGACGACAATGTTAACATATGACGAGATTGCTATATGAAAATGACGAACAAAGTTGAAAACATGGTTCAAAAATGGGAAATCAACATGCCAAATAATCAACCACATGAAAAAACTAACATGTTGGCCAGCTCAAACTCTTACAAATGTCAGGTAAACAAGACACACCTACTGTATTTGGATTGCACCTAGAGAAATCACTGGAAAAACAGCAAGATTAGAACATCCAAATACTAGTACACACAGAATAAACCCACAGGTACACAGCCGCTAAGTAGTAAACAAAAGATCACAAGCTGGTCTCACCTTTGACCCAGGAAATCACGCCCTCAAACAGGGAGCACCTGAGAAAAAAATATTAAAAAAATTCATTGGTTCTTGCAAGGCTACGAGCAGCCATTGGTTGATTAGGCCAGATAGGCCAAATAAAATTTTATTTCAGCGTAATTTCTCACGCCCGCCGACTTATTAGTGCAAAAAATTGCTAAAAATAAAATATTTTTATCTTCATTTTTTTTCGTCCACCACATAACAAACCCAAGTCGCATTTTCGTGTGAGTATCTTGATCAAAGTACCGAAGTCTCGCGCAGATGAGAAACAAGGTTATACATGGAATAAAATGTTATTTCATTTCTTCTCTTCGATCAATGATCTCACTTGCAATTCTTTGAGAATCACACAAATCTAATGGAAAAAAAGAATTAATTTTTTTTTTTTCCGCCCTCCTCAAAAAAATTGCCGTATAAAACCTCGAGAAACAATGAATAAAAAAAGTCTGGCCTTAGTGGCATGAGACCTACATATATAGTTTCAAACAACTTCGACAATGATCGAATTATTTCGGAAACGTTCGGGCACTTCCGGTCGTCATGTCAACAAGAAGCAATATGGCGATGCCGAATCACAACCCTCCCCACGGTATGGAAGCCTACGATATTGGCGCTCTTAGCCAAGAACAGCAGGAAAAACTTAACCAATTTAAAGTGAGTATTTGATTTAAAATGGCCAGTAAATATATTAGTGTCTTGTGGTCAGTTGCTAGCGCATACGCACCAGTTTTGCATACCCGTCAATGCAGCTCGCGCGTAAACAAAATGTTCATTGAATGGCTCTCTTTTGATCCTCTTATTCTGCAACCGTTTTGAATACTGAGTAACTGCCTGGTGAGCCGGCATGGTAACCTTTGAAGGTATCCAGATTTGGAAGTCTAAATTAACAGCCCTGACAGCTTAGCGAGTGTAATACAATGCCGTTTCTGTTACTAACACTAGACTGAAGGTTACTGTGACACTGATGTTCAACAGTCAGGGGTTGACTATGTACTAGGTGTTGCGGTGGTAGATTTACATTGTAAAACAAATATATACTTAGTGAAGTTGAGGAGTGAGGGTCGAACAGGGGGATTTTTTAAATTTTGTCGAATTCTGCACCGAATAGTTATGAACAATGTCCAAATAATATTTTCCCTTTTATATTATATTTTTGGAGATGTAGTACCTTAGTAGTATAGTATATTAAAGTATATTTTATTTGACACTAAATAATATATTTTGTTACATTATCTGTGGTCAAAAGACATTAAATATAATAAAACACAAGTACACACACGAGACAAAAGAAAATACATAAATAACTAAAGTCTAAGTAAAATTACTTATAGTAAATTAGTATGCTGTCAATAAATTTGCTAGCACTATTAGCAATGAACCCATCTCTCGAACTTAACATTTCTGTAAACATTTGTTGTTTTGATAGTTTAAGGATACTTTCATTATAAATGCTAACTACATTCAGAAATTCAGTACGAGCATTTGTTATTCCAGTATGGTTACAGTCTAAAAGTGCATGGATTTCATTGCCAATAGCCCCATTATTACAAAGTTGGCACTTTCTTTCCTCTGGAGGTATCCCTTGATATCTAAGTTTTTCAATTGGTAGGGTATGTGCAGATATCCTAGATTTGATGAAGCTGGTTCTATGTTGTGCATTTTTTACTTGATTCAAATACTGAACTGAGTGTATGTACGTAATTTATTGTTTTGGGTTGTCTGGACTGTTGGTAGCCAAACTTTTTCAACATAGATTTCTTTTAATTTTGACTTAAGCAGAGTATTGTCATCAGCATCACCAGTTTTAGTTATCTCCTGTAATTTATTTACAAATGTTGCCCATGTATTACCTTTGATTTTGGTTTCTGAGATATAAGCACAATGTACTAAGTGACTGCAATTGCCGGTGTTGTTTTCAATTCTTTTCTTGTATTTAAATAATTGTGCACATATTTCAGTAATAACAGGATAACTTCCAAGTTCAGCT